TTTTACAAAGCTCACCAAGGAACACATTCAATTATGAAAACAATTTTGAATCGAGTGATATACAATTATTACGATTACTGTTTTTTTTGTACTACTTTGCTAATATATTTGATAGCTTGACTAAACGTTTTTTCAATCTGGCTTAAATTTATGTCAGTACTAAGATAATCAGAATTGATCAAAATTCCAGAGTTTGAAGATAAAAAAACTTGTTCTTATGGAAGATATGAATTTGTTTGGTACACAAATTGATTATTAAGAAATAGCATGTGATTTTGCTCAACGATGTAGTCATGAATTCGCCTAATTTTTTCAGCACACATTCATTTCATAGTGATAGTCCATGTAGAAATGCTTGTTCAATTGTCGGTGTTTCAGCTAATGAGCATTTGAAGAATAAAATCATGTAATTTCCAATATAAAACATATAAGACTAGTATAGTAAAGTTAATTTTTGAAAGATGTCGATATCTTGCATGTATATATCGCTGACGGAAATAAAAACTTTTCTTTTTTGCTTGAATGCGTTCGTTGCATAGAAAAGTTGATGGTCAAAAGTGTCCAAAAGAGAGATAATTCGGATAATACTGTAGTTCAAAACAGGATAGTATGTAAAGTGAAAGAAGAAGTATCTACAGGAGCACATTGTCGTACTAAATACATACATACTTAATCACGATATAGAATGTCTAGTAATACTGTACATAATATGTGTGCGAGTCTTTCTCACAAACCTTCATTCAATACAATTATTGTGCTTATATATTATGTATGAAACATTTTTTCAATAACTCTCAATTCGCGACTGATTAAATGATTCATTCTATTCTTTTTTGTTAATTCTGTTCCGATTTATAAATATGCTATTGAAAATAAATCGCATGTTGAAAAGCACATGAGTTTATTATTCCAATTCTTACTAGCTGAAGCGTCAATAGTTGAGGTACTGACTGCCTTTGCACTGGTATATATTTGAGTTGGATTGAAACACGTTCAATCAAGATATCAAATATATTAGCACAGTTTTGTAGAAAAACTAGTAATAGTAATCATTGAATAACTTGATTCAAGAGACCTGGAAAGTTAAACCCTTGCAGAATGTTTCATAACTTGTCGATGTCTATCTTTTGAATATATACTTGATTCAAACATGATTTGACAACTGAATATGTTCTCTCGATCATGATTCATCAAAGCACGGAACAAATTTATAAAAAGCTAATTTCTTTGTTCCTAGACCAAAAGACCATTGAATATATGTTTTGATTGTATATACTATTGGAACAATCAAAACAAGATTTCAACAATCCATTGAACTGTCAACAAAATTTATTTATTCTCGTTACTTCCATTAATTAGAAAACTAGGAAAAAATCACAACATAATGGAATAATCTTCGTGATCAATAATGCTGAGTTAATTCAATGGCATCTTACTGACGTACATGCATGAGGTCAGACACAAACAAAGATAAAAAAAAGTAAGAAACACCAAAGTAAAGACACATATCCTTGGAAAACAATTGTTTTGATCAATGTTTTAAAAACAATGTCATCATAGAAACATTTATTCAAAACAATAATTATATATATGTTAGAAGCACTCCCAGTTTTCTAGTATCCGATACATCAATGAATTCACTTGTGCATACTTATTAGAAAATACGTCGACTTGAATGAAAGAACTATTATCGTCAGGTTTCCATGAACTGAATTCTGACACGATTTTCTTAAGTGAAAGTTAGCATTTATACCTAGTTTATTTGATGCATTACAAAAAAAGACAAGAAATAACAGCAACCCTATATCAGTCTGATGAAACAGAACAAAAAATAGAAATAGGAAAGAACAATATCCAAAAGATAACAGGACCGCGATTGTACATATCCATATAATATGTGTAACAATATAATGTAATATTTCATAGAACAAAAGAAAAATTAGTGAATGTGAGAAAATAGATATTACTAGAAAAAAAAAACTTCAATATATTCTAACATCACTATATCACACATATCTTAATTTGATACTTCAGTAGTATTGAATGAAGTGTAACGTAACTTATTGTGATATCTATCGATTCCGATCAATATTAATGATAATAATTAAAAAATGTTTCAAAATTCATAAATTTCTTTTTCTTTTCATTTCTAATTTCCTAGGATTTCTATGTTACACATCTGAATAAAACCAGTGTCATTTGATCAATTATTAGATTTAATTCAATATTTACTTCAAGTGAAACTGAGTTTTTTTTTTTTATTTTATGAAACAAAAAAAGCATTTGATTATGAGGTGAAATAACAATAAATGTTCTAGAATATTTGTGCATCTTTTATTTTCTTTTGTACTTCATGCAATGAAAAATACATCATCAACAAAGCATCAATGTATATTGATGTTTTTATGTTGTAAAAAAAAATCTCATAGAAAGGTGATTTGTTACATAAAACAGATAAACAAACAGATGATTTTATTTTGAATTATATACAATTATATTTAATCTCAAATGATAAATCAATATTAAACATCTGTTACTCATGTGCATTTATATAATAATAAAGATCTATCATAAGAGAAAAAAAAATAATATTTTGCCTATGTTTTAACCTTATTGCCAACTTAATATCGATACAAGGATGGTTATATATTACTCATCTATTATGCTCACATGTATGATACGCATGGTTAATTATCTTTCTAACATATGCCTTGTATACTTACCTTCGATCGTATCATATCTATTAAGAATATCGTTGTGTGCACACCATCCATTTCGTAGTGTTTCTTCAGCAAGACGCAAACAGTAATCAGTTTCAATATATATGAATTTCGTTTTGTTTCGTAACTCAGTAAAAATACAATGTAATAATTCTCATTTTTTGTTGAAAAGTGTTTGTTGTATGTTTATATATTTGTTTTTTAATACAGTTCTATAATTTATTTATTTTTCTAGTGATGAAACAGGACTTGAAAAGAACACGTTTTTTTTCACTTTGTTTTTGTGGAAAATACAAATTCCATTGGTATGTATTAGTCTTTTTAAAATATGTTTATTTTTTTTTTTTTTGCCTATTGAAATATTTAGTATATTTTTATTAACTATCAACAAATAATTGATATCTTGACAATAAGTTTATTTTTTGTATTCATTCTATCTTTGTATCAACTAGTTTTAAAAACAATTAACGTATACACATTATCAAACGAATAAGTCAACATATTAATCTTAGATAATTTTCTACAAATTTGATCATATGAAATTTTTTGATAAAGTAGTTGTGAACAATTGAAATCGATCAATCTATAAATTTGATGAATGACTCTTGTATCACTTTATTTCATATAAAATAGTATTTAGTTTTAATAGAAACTATTTTCCAATTCATTTATAACTTATTGAAAATAATATGAAAATAAGAATTTTTATTTTTATTATAGGTAAGATCTACCAAACTTTATTATCAAACGCTTTTATGCAATAGTAAAACATATTTTATTCATATTTTTTCTTTATTGATGTTTTTGTTGTAAGCATTTTCTCTCGACCAGCGTCCACAAGCAATTTTTCTTTGGTAGTCATCCTGCATACATCATAGACATTGTGCATTTTGATGCATCAATAGTATTGTAATGTGATCCTCAAGACAAAGGTTTTCTTTTTCTAATTTATTTTAAAAACTCAATTAAATCTTTTGTTTATTTAGATTATTTCATGTATTTTTATTTCAACAATTTTTTGTCCAAGTCAACAAGACAATTTTCATCCTATTACTTATATATAGAAATATTAGTTGTCTGATATGAAAACGAATGAAGCTTACAATATTTTGTCAATAATGTAGACCGTCTTCGAAAGACATTTTTTTTTCCCTCATCTTTCATTTAACTAATTGACAATATGTTAACTTCTGAAGAGATTATTAATACTTGTTTTTTTTTGTTGGGATAGGTTTTTTTTTGCCTAATAAACATTTTTGTCAAACATAATTGAAGTTTTACTAACAATATCAGATTGTGAAAAAACATGTTGTCATGACTTTCATTTGTTTTATTTATATCTATTATTTCAAGTTCCATATGAATGATTTTTATTCAATAAATTTGGAATTTTAAACCCTTTTTTTTTATTTTGATAGTTACGAATAAATTTAAGTTCGAACTAATTTTTGTATTTAATTATCAATCGACTTTGCTATGTATTAATAATGCGTTTGATTGTATGCTAATAATTTGTTCTACTTTTTCAATGTTCAACTAGAAAAAAATTGTATTATATGATATCATGTGTAATCTATATCGAAATTCATTATTAGGACAAGTATCATACGTATAGGAAAAATATCGCTTTGTCTAAAACATTTGTAAGAACTGCATTCATACATCTGATTGATATTGAAAAAAAAATCATGAAAGATTTCACAATAAATCGATATGTTGTGCATGTTACATAAATACTAGTTTTTTCATAAAATTGTTTTATACTTTATTTTGTGTCCAACTTTCATTAGTTTACTGATACTAACTATTATTATTCTTAACAATATATTCTTAGTTCAACGCTCGACACTATAATTATTTGTACGAATGTTATAAATATTATTTTTCGATCAGCATTAGCATCTAGAGACTGAACAGATTATATGTATTGTAATCAAATATTTCACCAGCTACATTTCATTAATAATATTTGAAATATTGAAGACTCTTTTTACAATATCATACTTGTAGGAATCAACTATAAAAAATATATTAGATGAATAATCATATTAACAGAATTGATTGTAAATAACTTGCTTAATTTAATAAATCTCATATTATATTTTATACCGTATTTTGTATTGTCATGAATAAAAGAAAACATACTCTTCTCGCTTTTTATAAAGCGGAGTATGAGTTTTATTCAATAAAAAGCTGTCACTTATTTAATAAATATTTTTATAAAAAGTCAATATAAAATGTTTATCTGACTCTATCACGTTCATTTTCAAGTTTTTCACGATGCGAGCTCCAAGGATTCATCCTTACTATGAAACTGTTCGAGTATCACCAAATCATATAGAAAATCATTTGTAAGTTGTTCCTCGAAACTTGTCAATAATAAATCTTTTACTTTTTCTTTTTCTCAGAGGATGTTCATCGACATATTTACTTCGAACACGACGTCGTCGTTTTTTATTTTTAATAAGCATACTGATGATTATTTTAATTTGTAGTCTAGTGATTCCACTTACAATCATTTTAACTCGTTGCAAAAAAACACATCAATCATCAACAATAACAACAGATAGTAGTAAGATTTTCATTTGAATCCTCTCTTTTCTTTATTCGAGAGTGAAGTGATTTGATTTTAAAAAATTAACTCTTCTAACTGTAGTAATGATTGCGCTTACTTTTTTAATAATGTTTTTTTTTTCTACCATTGAAAATTTATTTCATATTTTATAAAAATTTTTTCTATACTTAATTCTTACTAAAAATAATATATTAAAATGATCAATCTTTTTTTTTTCTAACCTACTTCTTTCATCAGTAAATCTTCTAGATTATATAATGAGAATGAATAATAAACTTATTGACAATTGTTTTTCCTTTCTATAGCTTTGAATTCAACAACAAATACGACAATATTTGATGATTCAACAATAAATATTGATACATCAACGGCTAATACTGTTACTGATTTTTATTTTGTATCAAATAACACATTGCAAAGTGGTATTAATAGTAGTGTCATCTTAATAAACGATACGATCATAGACACTATTGGGACACAACGTACATTTACATTGACACTCGATTCAACCATTTCTAGTAATCCAATTAGAAGAAAGTTCAATCACTAAAAAATATTGCATTCACAATTAGAATTCTTTTATTTATCTTTTTGTTTCTTTGAATTAATAACTTTTCGATTTAATATGTCAGTCAATATTTAATAATGCTTGATATGATTAAAGAAAATTTGTTATGAATTGATTGAAAAAAAAAACGAATATTGTTGAAATGTGAATAAAGATTTATTTATTTTTAATTGAAATTGTAAAGCATATGATTATAATTGGTATTTGTTTTTTTTTACATACGTCCCTAATTCAAACTAATCAATAATATATTTAAGTACCAAATTTATCTTTTTCCCATTTGCCTACTTGTTTTTGTCCATCAGCAAATATTAATGTTCCTTCACCGTGTCGCTTTCCATCGACAAATTTTCCTTGATAGTGAGTACCACTACTCCAAGTTAGTTTTCCTTCTCCATTTATCTCGTCATTAGCCCATTGACCCTTATAAATATCTCGATCAGTATAATAATAAATACCATATCCATGTTTTTTATTATCTTTGAAATTACCTTCATATCGACTGTTGTCTGACCAAATTCGTATACCTAATCCTTGTGCCTTGCCATCAACTATATTACCAATATATTTATTCCCATTATTATCGTCATAAACATAATAATGACGTTCTTCGCCATTTCCATTTTTCCACTTATAAAGATGACTGTTTGAGATTGTTTTTAAATCTAGATTATTTGGTTCATCATTAGCCCAGATACCTGCTTGTACTGTTCCGTCTGTATTGTAAAGAATACCATGGCCATTTCTATTACCACGTTTGAATGTTCCTATATAACGACTGCCATTTGGATAAGTGCAAATTCCTTCTCCAGTTGCTTTATCCTCAGCATCTTCACCTTCGAATTTTTTTCCATCAACATTGTAGTATTTTCCATAATCTTGTTTCATACCATTTCGATATTTTAATTTATATCGATGGCCATTGACAAAAGTAATAACTGCTTTAGTTTCATTCTCGTTTGATTTCTTTTTTTCTAAAAACAATTAATGACAGATCAGTTTTACGATCTATTTGTTTTTATACGTACTTGATGATGATTCATAATTCATTTCATTTGTTAATGCCGTAGGTTTTGTTTGTTGATGATCAATATCTATGATGTAGTTATTATCGTTTATATGAAAATATTTAAACGATTGAAAATATTTACCTGTGTCTTGCTTGTTAGTAAGTTGGCTGTTGTCGACCATTTCGACATCATTACCAATTGACTTGTCTTCATCAACTTGACTGATTTCTTCGAAACATATTATAACTTTATCTCTTTTATTGTTTTGTTCTTTGCTTTTCACGCGCAAACATGTGCCCGGAAGCAGTAAAACCTCTTGATCACTGGTTGTAGATGTATAATCATGAATATCTTTCCCATTTAATGGTTCGATTGAGCAAAGAATTGGATTATTTGTGAGAAAGGACTTCATTATATCAATTGACAATGAAGATGAAGTTACACAACACAATACCAATTCATCATTTTCTTCTAGTTTCTCTACAGTATCAATGGGTAAACCTCGCCATATTGTTTGCTTGACATTGGGTAATTTTTCTAGTGCTGTATTAAATAATTGAAGGAAATCAAACCAAGGTTTCAACTTTTTTTTATCTTTAGTTTGTAATGTTTGATTCAAGACATTATGTAAACTTTGATCTCCCCAATCATCTGTATAGAGATATACAGCGGCTGATTCATCGTTACTAAGATTATGTTTCGAAGGATAATGACAGTTTTGTTTCGCTTTTTTAATATAATATTCCAAGTTATTGACAGAAGACAAAACAGGTTTAAGAGTTAAATCTAATGACACAACTTGCCGATTTTTATAATCGTCAATGAGTTTGAAATCTTTATCACTATATTCAAAACGAATAAATCGATCCATTTTTTGTTCAATATCTAATTATACTAACGATAAGAACACCTTTTTACATTTGATATTTCGTGTGTTGTTCGATGCAAAAATATCTAGAAAAATATTAGTTTCTTTCCAACTTACTTACATTCTTTTATATGGCGTGCGATAAGAGAAAAATTCCTTTTTTTTATAAGACAACAACAGAAACGATAAAATAGTGTTTGCTTTCAGCGAGAAAAAACGCATATATGTCCTCTGACTTTGTTTTACTCCGTTAAAAAACATGTAAGCAGAATGAATGACTGAATATTTCATCAAGATGATAAAGAAATAAGTTAAAACAAAATAGTCCACATTGATTAAAAACATATATTAGATGTGCATATATATATATTTACATACCAAAATATAAGTCGAATATTTGGTAGACTGTGAAAATTGAAAGTAATCTGTACTCGTCACATCTCAAAGAAGCATGGTTTTGAACATTCTTTACAATGTTTTTTATTGAATAACAAAATCACAATGGCTATATTGTGTTTCTATAGTTATTATAATGATATCTTAAGGACAGATACTGATATATTGGTAAGAAATATGAATTGATCTTGCTCATTGAGAATTCAAGTATATGTCAAAGTTAGGTTTCAATTAGATCTTCTTTCTTTAATGAATTTTTCAGTCTGTATATTTCAAAAACTTTTTTTTTCTTTAATGAAAATGCTATTATACTATATGAATAGTAAAATAAATAGAAAAGAAGTTCATGGTATCACTTGCGAAAGATAGAAATTTACGATAAGATACAACCATCGTGAGCTTGTGATGGAGCAGAAGTTGGTATTAATGCAATCTAACCAATAAATTTGTCGTTTTCCCAAGTACCATATTGAACTCTACCATTAACAAAGGTCAACTTGCCTATGCCATGTCTTTTTCCATTTTTAAATGATCCTTCATAATAACTTCCACTAGGCCATTCAAGTGTTCCCATACCATTCATTTCATCATTGGCCCAATGTCCTTTATATTTACCACCACTTGCATAAGTGTACGTTCCATATCCATGTTTTTTATCATCTTTGAATTCGCCTTCATATTGATCACCATCCGCCCAAATGCGTAAACCTTTTCCATGCGCCTTTCCATCAATGAAATTGCCTTCATATTTGTCTCCCTTCACAGAACAATATGTGCCACAATGGTGTATTTTGCCACTTTCATGAAAGCCTTCGTAATGATTTCCATTCGGCCAGGTACTTATTCCATTACCATAAGGTTTATCAGCTATCCAACAACCCATATATGTATAACCATTAGCACAAGAGAGACTACCATATCCATGCATCTTACCATTCATGAAATCTCCTTCATAACGATCACCATTTGAACAAATACGAACTCCATCTCCACTTGCTTTCGCGTCAGCAGAGCGGTCCTCGTAGATCTCTCCATTGACTGTATATAATTTACGATATCCTTGTTTTTTACCTTTCTTGTACGTTACTTCGTAACGATTATCGTTCGAAAACGTAATGATCGAAGACTCTATGTTCCTTTGAACCTCGTCTCTATCTGAAAAAAAATCAAATGATCAATTTTTTTTTTGAGAATTCTTAACCTATTTTAATGCGTATCAGAACGACCTTGATTTACCGCTTCCTTTGTCTTCGAAACAACTTTTTCTATGGAATTAGTCGAATCTATATAATTTCGTTGTATTCATTTTATTTTATACTTATATGAAAATGTACGATAAAAGTAAAGAATAAAAATTAGACAGTGAAAATGAATTAACTCGAACTGTTTTTAGTTAGACCGATGTCATGGACAACAACTCAATGAAATAAAAATCCTTACATTATTAGAAAATAAACTAAAATTTCACAAAATGAATACTAAACATACCTGAAGCATTCTCAACTGATTTGTTTGTTGAAGATATAGGATTATGAATAGATGCCGACTGGTTACGATTTTCATCAGCGATTTCTACCAACTGTATAACACGTTGGCGGATAGAAGAATCATAACCGATCTTTTTAACACGTAAATGGATACCTGGAAGCAATAAGACTTCATCGTCTTTTATACAACGGGTATAACCACGAATATTCTTGCCACTTATCGTTTCGATTGAGCAAAGCATCGCCTTGTTATCAAGATAAGGCTTAATTACATGAATTGAAGATGAACATGAACTGAAACAGCCCCAAATGATATCTTGATTTTCTTTCAAGTTGTCAGCTATATTAATAGATATCCCACGCCACACTTTGCCCTTTACAGTAGGTAATTTCTCCAAACCAGTATTGAATAACTTGAGATAACCAAACCAAGGTCCCATCATTGTTTGATTTTTCGATCTCAACGCTTTATTTAGTTCATTGTGCAAACTTTGTTTTACATGTTCGTCTGTATAGAGATAGATAGCAGCCGATTCATCTTTAGTCAGATTATGAGTCGATGAATTACGGCACAATTCTTCTGAAAGTTTTATACGTGTATATAGTTGATCGATGTTTGATAATAAAGATTCAAGAGCTATTAGCAACGGTAGAAGAGGATGATTCATGTAATCATAATAGTTAGGTGATTGACCATTATCATAGTGAGTTTGAATAAATCGATTCATTATATACGCGTAGTATGTAATTCATAGACAACTTACGCTTTTTTTCTCAGGACTGTTTTATGTTCTGAAATGTAGTGATTTAAAAGCGACGGATTGTTTTTATGAGAAACCGTGTTTTTATTTGCGAAATGACAACAGAAGGAAGAAAAAAGTCTTCCACTTTATGCGTCAACAATGGTTAAAACATGTCGCTTCTTACAGAGTAGAAAAAAACGCATGTCTACGAGTCTACTTCTATTTTTTTAAATTGCCATATAACAGAAAAATGGTGACGTTAGAGCAATTATTCATACTTCAAGAATAAGCATGATTGAGTAACTGAGTCACTTAGGACAACCGAAACGTACCACAAAACACAGTAAGAGTAAGAAAAGTAACTGCTCCAAGTGATAAAAAGCGTTTCGGTTGAGACTTCTTTTATTACGTAGAACACCTCTATACTAGATAAGTTCTATGAATCATCTTCTTGAATCTTCTTTATTGAGTTAAGCCCAATTTCCTATATTGTTAATCAATATCAACGTATATCATTGGATACTCAGATGTTGGATATCTGATCTGAAATTTTTGTCACAAACAAGTCTCTTTACTACTATAATGTGTCGGGTGTTGCCCAAAATAAATGTTCAGATCTCGAGATATTAGACTTTTCACAAACCATATTTTTCCGCTAGCGCTCAGAAATCTAGCTTTTTTTAAGAATATTATATCTCAAAATCGAAGTATCCATTTCAGACGAGAGATTCATGGCATACGATAGTATCACTGAGACCTATTCATGGAAAAAAATTCTAGATAAAATATTTAACATTCGAATTTTAATGATATACTTTGAGACAGCTTAGAAAATTGATATAACAAGTATAAATTATTCGAGAAGATCTGATAAGATGAATTCATTCTCGACTTTATCTAGCCTCGAGAGTTCTATCTAATGAAGAAAGTATCACTGCAAATTTTTTTTATTACTTGGAACGATCCTCTCACGACATTATTAACCAATTAATAGTCGATTTGTGTAATTCAAATCATTCTTCAAGAAATATCGATGTGTCTTAATCCGTAGAAAAGACTTCAGGCTATCTACTGATGACAATCTCTTATGTTATCTTATATGAACTTCTGGAAGGTGCATCGGTATTTTTGAAAAGTAATTTGAATTACATCAATCGACTATACTCTGTTTTAAAATCAAAATTTTCCGTTGATTATAATTGATTAATAATTAATTAGAATCAAAATCATAAATAAAATTATTCCACAATAAAATTAAAATGAAAATGTTTTATTATTAATCAATATTAAGTCAGATTTTGTAATAGAATAATTTGATTTATCATTTTGATTATGAAGATAAGATTTTGAAATTTTAATTGTTTTTTGATCGATACAATGTTTTATGAAGTAGTATTCTAAAAGTCATACAATGCAACACTAAACAAAGTATTTACGTATAGAAATTGAGAGTATCAAAAGAAAATAGAGCAAATGTAATGGAATATTGATTGTGCTTTGAACTACGGACGCACGTGTACGAAATCAGTATGTTTTTTCAAATTATATTATTCGAATGGATGTTGATTGATCATTTGGTAATTGGACATAAAACCTCAATGTGTTCGTGGTAGTCATTTATATATTTTTGCCACGTTTACTGTATTGTTTAAGTAAATTATTCTTATTGGATTCACAATTTTTCACAAACGGTTTTTGGTCACTATACTGAAGGACTGTTTTATAGTTCTTAAGACAAAAAAATCAGACAAATGATGGATTTACATTAAAAACTGGTCGCAATGTATTACTTATTCCTATTGGATGATAGCAGAATCACGGTACACATTAGCAAATCCAGTAGTCACTATTTTGGGACTTATTCTTTACAGACTCTTTTTTTTGTCTTCATCAATCCATTAAGATTCTTGTCAAGCTCGAAATTCAAATAAATTTTTCTTTGCCAAGAACTAGAAAAACGAATTCCTGCCTGAAGTTTTAACTAAAAAGAATCTTGAACAATCTATCAAGAAAGCCAAGAGTCTGAATAGAATAAGAATATAATATATAAAGTTTTTTAAAATTCAGACAAGCTTCTTCTCTGACCGTCAAGATAAACGGTACATGATATTTACATAGACATGTTTATAAATATAAATATCTGCACATTATATACTAATTTTTGTATGCCAGACATTAATAGTTCTTATATTCAATTGAACGATCTAGAATCATTCAATTCAAATAATGCATGTATTTTTAATGTTAACAAATTTTTATTATTTGTTTCTTAATGGAAAATATTAAATTTTGCTCATAAGTATAAAATCGTTTTTAGTATTCGTTTTAACCATTTTCTATATAGTCTTTTTGTAGCTTATTTGAAGTTATGTGAAATTTGACGTCCTCTTGTTATAGTAATTTTGTGTGTGTTTTATTAACACTTGAAATATAAATACAGAAGTGATGAGAAAAAAAACGTTTTGTTCAAGTATATTAGAGTAGACACATGATTCGAAAGAATGAGACAATAAATCCAAGAATCTTGTCAAAAAATCAAGCGCTTAGTCCTTTTATACATCTTTAGCAAATACGTGTTACAACAATCATTTTTTATTAGGTAATAAAGAAATTTTCTTCTATTTCAAACTATATATTGGAACGATATTCCTTTCGCTAATTGAGAACGATAGTTTTAATGGTTGAAAATGGTCCTCCCGCAATAAATGATGAAGACTGATGGCTATGTTCGACTGGAACGTAAGCGGTATCGCTTAGTTTGATTTTCATCTCAAACCTATGCATAACAGTATGATCTTATTTCCATTTTATAATGTCTTATTCACACTGTTTTCAGCCGCATTCAACTTGGTTTAACCATTTCCATTACATTCTAGATAATGCCCTCGTTAGGCTTTTTATTACCAAATGAAACATTTTATTTCATAAATAGAATTCCTCAATACATATTTAACCCACCCAAGCTACATACAGAATAAACTTGTGAAAAAGGAGCGCACAAAAACAAAATCCTTATATTTGCTATGCATGAAAGTACGATTAGACATATATTCATATAAAGTAGTTCATTAATTAATAAACGGAATTTTTTTACGGATATCTTTTGTAACAAAGAAGTGATTGCTGATATTTATAAAGGTTTATCAGTTGTTGTTGAGATAATCGTTGAGCAATATTACTAGAGCATAGAAAAGTTTCTTACTAGATGTCTAGAGGACAAAATAGTAGATTATATTATCTCAAATGCTTATTTATGAACAAAAAAAGATGAATGCCAACTATGTGCAAATGCTCACTTTTACTCTATAGCTTGACACTAACATCTTGCCCCATATCGTATGACATGCCATACGAACATTTTTGTAGAGCATATGTCATATCGTCGAATATTTCGCAATAAAATCTGTCTATTATTGTTTGAAATAGCTTAAAAAGATTAACTAGGGGCTTACAATTAATAAAAAAAATTCAAAGTTTAAGAAGACAAAGGATAAAATGCAGTTTGATCTTGGTAGCAAATCAGAAAATGGTTCAATTAGAAATGGTCGATAAGGCCACCCAGACCGATTCACTACACATTATTAGGATCATCTGACGACGTTTTTTAACTACTTTTTTTTATTCCGTGTATAAACGATCTGGAAAAGAACGTTAAACAGTGATTGAAACAATGACTTTTTCGCTGACGAGGGAACATTTTCAGGTGCTAAAAGGCTTTTCAACCGGGGATGTGATAACTAGATAGGGCATAGCTAGCAGTGATACACCCTAAGTTAGTTCGCGCCCAAGTTGAGATTTGGCTGAGATATCGACTTTTTACTAGAATTTGCCTATGAGACCCCATCTTTCCCATGAAATCAAAGTTTTGAATTTTGAGGTGAGACTTTGCTCATATCAAGGCCTCGGCTAGGGTAGTTCATCCACAAAGTTTCAGAATTTTCAAGCTAAGCATTCCCGAGATATAATGTTTTCAAAATATCCATGCATACAGCAATATCCGTAAAAAACTGTGTTTATACTAACAGACTCAAATCTCGGGAATGCTTAGCCCGAAAATTCTGAAACTTTGTGGATGAACTACCCTAGCCGAGGCCTTGATATGGGCAAAGTCTCACCTCAAAATTCAAAACTTTGATTTCATGGGAAAGATGGGGTCCCATAGGCAAATTCTAGTAAAAAGTCGATATCTCAGCCAAATCTCAACTTGGGCGCGAACTAACTTAGGGTGTATCACTGCTAGCTATGCCCTATCTAGTTATCACATCCCCGGTTGAAAAGCTTTTTAGCACCTGAAAATGTTCCCTCGTGAGATCTAAACGATGAATGTAACGGATATCTTTTATCATTATGTAAGTAATACAGACCTATTTTGGGAATGCCTCTATTTCCTTTTAGGTCATTGCGTTCATAAACGTGTGCTAAAAATAAATTGTATTAGATTTGAAAGACGAAAAAATTTTTTGTGATAATTCTTCTTTCAAAAAAGATATAGGGATCGACATTTGTGTAAGTACTTTTGCCTCACATGTTATTTGAAAATTTAATCTATTTATAAACAATTTCAAAGGATGTATTTAAGTTGTTTGCTAATGAATTTGATATAAGTCAAGAAGTAGAAATCAATCACGATAATTAATAAATCTAAGACTATAACCAGACTTTATGGATATTCAAAATGAAAATATCAATCTATGTTTGTGAGTAAAATATTGATATTAAAAAAAGAATTTCTATGAAGTTATCTTTATTGTTTATTTAATAGTAGTAATTTATAGTCGTCGAAAGTAAGTATTGAGACACTCATTACTTACATAAATCTTCATTGATTATAATATGACAACAGTCTAGTCTAAAACAAATTCTAATAGAAATTCTATTCTACGTTAAAAATATTCTGTGATCTCGATTATGAATAATAATGATCTATATTCATTTATTTAAGGTATATTTTAATTAATTTTTTTGATTTTTAGTAAGCCACATTATACGAGCAAAAATAACTATTTTTATTTATAGAGTATTTTTCAACATATTTTCAAGTAATTTAATTATATTATGATCGGATTACTTAGAAAGATTATCATTCATATAAGCATGAAGTTCCTTGAACAAAAAAAGCAAGGACTTGTATATTACGAAAGATAGAATGTGAAATAAGAAAAACAATTCTTTTTTTTTTTTTATTAAGTTAATACTATTGAGATCTTTACTATATTGATATTTTTCTAAAACTATATGTTATAGGCCATGTAAAAATGAATTATGATTTTGTAGAAAATACTTGCAAATAGATGATTTAATAATAGACAACGAGTCTTGTTCAGCTAGATGTCATATAAAACAATTAAAAATATTAAAACTTACAAGTCTTGTAAATTATTTGTCAAGAAAACTAGATTTTTTTTTTTATTTTGAAACTCAAGCAAACGCATTTGAAATGGGTATGCTCGCTTGAATGCATTTATATGCATTTGATTAATTTTAAAAACAGAACTCGTCGGCATTTTAAACACTATTAGACGCAAGTATTCATTAAAACGCATTTTAATGAGCCTATATTGATGCAAAAACGGAATGTGTCAAAGTTTGAAATGCATTCAGAAAGATTTCTTTCTCTGATCTATTTTGACAGCCGCATTTGGCTACATGAAAAAACCGCAATTCGACTACGTTTAGAATTTATATAGATCATCAATAGACATATATATTTTTTTTTTACTAATAATTTATAGATAATATAAATTCATTTATTTAATAATCAACGTGATAGAATAATTGTACTAACAACAGGAATATTTAAATTTTCATTATTTTCTTGTCTATTATCTTCTTCTCGTAATGTCATAAGTTCTTTACCAATAATCTTGAAAATAAATCTTTTCAATCCATGTTGAAAAGCTTTGGATACAATAAAAAATATGAAAAAACTGCTACCATAAAAAGTAAAATAAATAAAAGTAAATAAACTCTGTAAGAAATAAACAATTGATTCTTCTAATGGTGTTCGTATTTGATCTTTTGTTGATGTTATATAAACAGAATAGAGAGCTGGTATTAGACTTACAAAAATATAAACAATATCTTGAATAAATAAACAACGAAGTAATTGAAAATCTTTTTTTGTCATTGTTCGTATTTGATATTGTCGATTACGTGGAATACATCGAATATGACGAACATTTTTATAAGCAAATATAGATAAGATAATCATGAATAAACAAAAAAAACAATTAAATATCATTAAAGAATATGTAACAAATTGAAAATATAATGTTGAATAATCAAAATAACAATCCAAAACATTAGAACTTATTTGTTGTATATTAACTTTAATAAGTATATGTAAATTAAAAATAATCCAAAAAAATGTACTTAAACTTATTGAAAAATAAGCTAAACGTTTTGAACTATATAAACGTGTATCAACATTTTGTAATGATATTAATAAACGATCAATAGATGAAAGAATAAGAATTGTTGGTAAAAGTGTAGAGAAAAGAACTGCTGTATAATGAAGAAGTTTACATAATATGACACTTGAATTTTGTGCATAAATTTGAAAACCATTAATAAATGCAGTTCCCAGAATAGTTGAATTCAGATAGGCAGAACTGAGAAGAAGAAATATAAGAAAATAAAATACACAAACATTTTTTCTCCATGATTTTTTACAAAAAATAAAAATACTTAATAAGTTTCCAATATTACCAATAATATAAATGGTTAAGTTACCATAACGATACAGATAAACAATAATATTATTCAAGATTTCAGAATAATAATTATCTAAGGAGGACATTTCTGTACGACACAACAGTATTAAACAAGAGTAATACTTGTTATTTTTGAAGATTAATTGATGTTGGCGACTCTTTTTTTTTTCTTCCTGAAACAACTTATATGAAAATCATGATAAAGTAATTATGTAATATTCATTAAAATATTTATATAAGTATGGTTTATGTCACATCCACGAGAAATATGCCAAGACACTTTGTATTCTACCATTGTGATGGCTTCTTTCTTTCTTGTTTCTTATTATTCTTTTTATATTTGATGAAACAGAGAACTTGCATATCCCTACCAAGAATATTTAATATTGATAATTGATACTTACGGTTCATTTGAATTATTAGAGATCTGTGAAAAAAAATCAAATATACATAAGAAAAATTCAAATTTTTTCATGCATCATACTAATGAATCTTAGATAATGAACAAAATAAAAAGGTTTCATATTTTATTTATATACATAATGATTTAATAACAATTTCTAAAAGCACTCAACAAGCATTTATTCTTCGTTTTTATTCATTTTTATTTCTATTGAATTTAAGTTAATGACTTATAAAAATTGTAAATACACTAATGACTTTATAAAAATTGGTTGGGCACTTGTCTACAAAACTCAAAAACATGATATTAAAGTTAGGAAGCAGACATAACAATGGATCTATTTGAATGTCATTGATGGAAATGAACATTTTCATCGATTGAATTTCTTGATTTTGATGAATACCTAATTTTATTACAATACCACAATATTTTTGTATATATCATCATCCAAAACATCATTTCAATTGAATCCTACAAATTGATCAAAAGTTATTATTAAGTGTAAATATGATGATCATGCAAGTGACTACTTGTCTTTCAAGATTTTGATTAAAACTAATCTGAAGTATAGCAAATTGTAGAATCAACTGATAAATAGAAGATTTGTTATTGGTTTTTCTAAAAACAAAACATAGTAATTTAATTTTCTTGAGCATTATAATCGTTATACTGTTGTTTGCTGCCAATAAACTTTACTCTTTTAAGAAAAAGAGTTGTTTTATGGAACAGTTTAAAGTACTTGAGTATGCACATCTTCAACTTTCGAACGTCATTTGATTTAATTGTATGCCTACCGATAAGCTTCTTTGAGGGTAAAAAGAGCTTTTTAAAAAATGGAAACTTACGGCTTAATACAGAAAAGTTAAAGTCGTTTTACTGCACTTTTTAATGAGAGCAAAGTATTGTCGAAATAATCAAAATATGATGTTTTGACCTGTAATTTTAGTTATCGATAGAGTGAACAGTCATTAGAAAGTCTGAAAAATTTTCAAAGACACCAAAACATTTTTTCTTGCTGTATTCAACTTCCTGGTCAACTTGCCTATTGCAATGTTCTGTAAAAAGCGGCTGTCTTTTTGCTAGATGAATATCCGCAGAAAGATATATTGGCTTTCTTTACAATTTTCAGGACTTTTCTATGACTCTTAAATCTATCGATAAAAAAAATATCAGGTTAAAAATACTTATTTTAATTGTTTCGAATATACTTCTCTCTACATAAGACACACCGATCAAATGCCCATAGCTTGTCACTAGTACGATATAGATCTGGATCCTTTTATTTTAGACTTGTTTTCGTCTTAAATCGATCTGTTTGTAAGAATGAAACTGAATCAATCAACATCCAATAATTGTGGATGTTCACACGTTAGTACAAAAGAGCCACAATGAGAAAAGAAAGAATTATGTCAGACGTCTCCTCTATTATTAATTACTTGTTATTAGAAAATCAATGATTATTGCTTTTATATAACTAAATATCTAAAACAAAATATTCATTAATTGATGAGAAAATAGTCCAGGATACAATGCATTATGAAACACTTCAATTTAATGTGTAGGACAAAATCTATTGGGATAATAAATACAGATACTTTATGTTTTTTTTTCCTTGGAACATTATCATTGTTGAACAATAATTAACTTCAAATAACTTAAATGAGATTAGTTTACCATTGGTGATTTCATGAATTACTTAGTATACAGTAATTAACAAGTGTTATCAATATTAAAATAAGACTTAGTTGTAGCGACATGTCCAAAGTAGACTTGAATCGATTTATAACAAAAAAAAACCGAAAGCATTCAAATTATTTAGTAATCATAGACATCGAACTCTCCAGTTGAATTAAATAATTGAATATCTGAAATTTAGACATTCACAAAAGAGCGTGACAACAGCTTGTCATGGAGATTCGATAGTTTTCTTGTTAGCTTCTAGTATAAATCTATGTAAAAATATTTAGTTCAAGATATTTACCGGAGGCTAAAAAGTTTTAAGAACATATTTGATTGGAAACATTTTCTGCATGCTTTTAGAAATTGGAAGAAAGATCTTTGCCTACTAAGAAACTTAGTCTTATTTTTCGTCTTTAATCGGATTTTGTAGTTATTCAATAGAGCATTATATATAGATAAAAATAAAATTTTCAAGATATCCGTTGAGTTCTATCAATCAACATTTTTCTAATGTTTTCTCTTGGCAAAAAGTGTTCACCACTAATAAGTAATTTTTGAAAAATAAGATATCTTTCTAATAGTTCAAGTTAATGAAACTCCATATTTTCTATCTAATTAGAGTTTAGCAACTGCTTTATAGAAACATATTATATCAAACAAGATACAGTTTTTTCATAAAACTATTCGGTGTGAAACTTATCGTTGTGTCACTCAAATATTTTTATACAACTTTGTATTAAAGGTTAACAAGAAAACTATCGAGTGTTCACAACGTGTTGTTATCATGCTATATTGAAAACAAATTTAATACAAAACTTTTACATCATTCGTTATAAGGTTTTGAAGAATTAAAAAATGTACAAATCATAAGCAGGAGACTTCTTTTTGGATTGCTTTCTTCTAGTTTAACTACTCTATGAAATTATTTATAATATTAACGATCTCTGCTATGTAATTATAATTGAAATTATTCTTAATTATGATTAATCGCGCATAAGTTTTTAAGCACGAATTTCATTTTATGATTTTTCAATTGACTTAACTAAACAACAATTAAGATTTGAAATTCTCAAGAGTTCATTAACATATGAAATAAATCACAATTTGTTGCTTAACAAAGTCCAACTGTCCCCTTATATAGCTTGTTCGACCGTTAATTGTAAAATTACTTCAGAAAAATCAGCTAACCAGTATTAAGAAAAAAAAATAGTTCCATTAACTGTACGCAAATAAAAAAGAAGATTACTATAACAATAATCGGGTCTTTTTTTAATTTCATTCAAGTGTAATATTCTTCTCAATAATGAGATTATGTCTGTATTATCTTAAGAGTCTTATTGAAATTATGTTTATCGTTAAATTCGTTTGTGTTAAAAATTAATAATATGAGCGCGCAAGAGAGAGAGAGAGAGATCATACAGTGTAAGTATTGTATAAAAGAATAGAAATATTGATAATATTGTTATTAAAAAAATGTCTTCTTCGGAAAATTCCTCCATTGAAATTCTAACAAATATTCCAATTTATCTTCATCAATATGTAGCAACTATTTTTTTTATTATTGGTAATATTGGAAATTTCTTAAGTATTTTCATATTTTTTAAAAAATCTTGGAGAAAAAATGTTTGTGTTTTCTATTTCGTTATTTGTCTTTTTAATAATACTATTTTTATTAATGGAGCTTTAGTTGGATCTATTTTTTCACTTGGTTTTAATATTAATGCACAAAATTCAAGTGTTATTTTATGTAAACTTTTCTATTATATAGCATATCTTGGTTCTACATATTTACCATGTGTTCTGATTTTTGCATCGATTGATCGTTTATTAATATCTTCTCAAAATGTTGATACACGTTTGTATAGTTCAAAACGTTTAGCTTATTTCTTTGTTTCTACAAGTTTATTTGTCTTGAGTGTCTTCTCTTTGCATATACTTATTAAAGTTAATATTCAACAATTTTCTCCTTCTATCTTTATATGTTATTATGATCTTTCAATATCTTATTTGAACTTTTTTATATATTCAACATTAATAATCAGTGTTATCGTGCCATTTATCTTGATTATTTTATCAATAATTGCTTTTAAAAATGTTCGTCATATTCGTACTATTCCACGTCAACAACGTAGACAAATTCGATCAATGAACAAAAAAGATTTTCAATTACTTCGTTGTTTATATGCTCATAATATTGTGTACATCATTTGTACTATTGTATTGATTGTGAGTCTAGTCTATGGTACAACAATAAGATATAAAGTACAAAATCCATTTGATCGAACTGTATACAACTTTTTGAACGATTTTGGTAGTTTTCTTCATTACATTCCGTACTGTACAAGTTTCTTCATATTTATCTGTTTTTCGAAAGCCTTTCGATTGGAACTAAAACGATATATTTACAAGATATGTGGCAAAGATTCTACAACTGTACGAGAAGAAGAAAATAAAGAATTAAATGTTGCTGTCAGTACTATTGTTTTAGCTCATTGATAAATAAATAAATGAATATTGTTTCGTCAGAAAATAAAACATTCTAATATACTTGATTAAACTAAAGATAATGAATACATGACAAATGTTTGTTTTTATTCATTTGATATTGAAAACAGAAGAAGATCGATTTTATAATTAAAAAAAACTTGAGTTTATCTTGATCGATAGATGAGAATACTGGAAGTGTTTTCATTTGTCTCTATCATAGATACTTTATTTCAAAAATAAATTTATATATAATGAATCGATATTTTAAAATTCAATTATGTTTGCTCATTTAATTGATCTGAAGATATAGATCAAAACATTTTTCAAACAAGGATAGTGAAATCATCTTTGAAAAGTCTAATAAATTAGTTCGAATCAAATTTGTGGACCGGTATTTCTATTGAATATGTGGATTTACTTTGTTCCACTTAAAAGCATTTCAGAGGAATCAAAAATTTAAGATCGCAACCAGGAATTGGATATTGACTTAGAAATGTTGTGTCTATTTTTACTCAACAGTAATTAGAAACTTTTTTAAGGATTTGAAAAATTATTTTTCATGATGAGCCAACAGATTTTACTTTATCGTATGAGTTCGTTTTCGAACATGCGAAAAATTGTCAAAATCAATCATAAAATATGGATCCTAACTAACAGCTTTCAATAATTTCTAGCAGGTCAAAAGTAAACAAACATCTTATCGAAACATTATGTAATCTCTCGTTATGTTACTCTTTCACTCAACAATCTTGACTAATCTTCTATTTCTAGACTAATTGATATTCTATTTTAAACTCGTTGAATTTATTTATTCATATTGGTGAAATACATTTTTCTTAGATATTTTTAAAAAGATTAAACAATCTTATTTTTATGAAAAATTTTTTTTCTACCACATGACTTATGTGTAGTTGCTTTGCCATTATCTATTTTAGGATTGATTTCATAAAATTTTCACTTATTGTCAATTTTCACAATATGATCTAACATTTTTGTTGTTGCATTTATTTGCTACAAATTTTAGACACTCACAAAGAACATCATTTGAATGTTCGTTGACAGTTGGAAATTTCCTATAATATCTAATTCTATTCTTCATAAAAAAAATAACAAATGAAATCTGTTCTATGTGTGATTAAATATAAATAAATTTATTTTTATAAAATATTCAAAAGAAATATTATCATTGTGTTATTCAAAGTCAAAGTAACTATCTTTGGTAGGCACATTGATAAATTTCATTCAACGAACCAATGTATCAGAGATTTGATTTCTTATTTGTAGATGAATTTAAATGAAGACTGTCAACACAATGAAAATATTCACTCGTTATCATGTGGTATACATTTTTGTCGTCATCTCTAGAAACTTTTTCTTTCTTGTATGTTAATTCCATGGTGTTATGTATAGTTTTTATTCAAGGACGAAGAATTATTCAAAATCTTTTGTTTGTTATGAATATAAAACTAACGAAAAACATTTTTAATATTTTTCGTTCGGTTTTCATCTTCTCAGTAGTTATCGAATATCGAGTCCACAGAACTATTCTTCTAATGTTCAAAAACTATAATAATAATATATGTATAATCTTCATGAACAATTAATCATAATGAATTATTGACTTATCAAATTCTCTATAGTTTTCACGCTTTCAAGACCACGATGATTTTTAAGTGCTTGAGAGAATAACTTCGAACATTTATCTTTATTTTGGACTCGGTAATATTTCACTGTTTAACTTTATTCAATCATATATTTTCATCTTAAGAAAGTTTACTACTAGCTTCTACTCATTGTTTTTCTATCGTAGACAAATTCTAATTAAAACATTACTGTCAGATAATACGAATCGAAATAAGCAATAGATGGAAAATGAATCTATTCCTAGATACCTCTGTACTGTAAAAGGAGATGCAACTTTTAGCTAGAAAGTATTAAGTTAATTCATTTGCTTCTTTTTTTAATGATATACTATCAATCATCTATGTATATCTTTGATGTGTTATTCATTATGTTGAATTCTACTTATAAGATTTTACTGTAGTTGAATCAACTACAATAAAATCTCTCTATTGTGAAAATGATTGAAGACATTCAAAAGTGTTCACCACACGAAAGTGTTTACAGCAAGACTTGTTCCATCGGACCCGAGGCCGTTCATAATTAGAACTTATTCACTAGTAGAAGATTTACTGTATTCTTGTTTCGCTTAGGTTTAAACTGGCAATAAAAATTTACTTCATAATAGTATTACAACAAAGATAATTTAGACAATAATATTCCTTTCATTTTCTTCATCCAATACTAAAGCTGAAAAACGATTTCATTTATATATATTAAATCTTCAACGAGTAGCTCTTCTTCCAATTTATCGGTATTTCTAACTTACTAAGATCAGAAAAACTTAGCTAGCTTTAATGCTGAGTGTGCTGTTCTCTTCTCGTTCTGTTCATTTCTAAGTCTTCTATTGAAAATATTATAAAGTAATTTGATTTGCATATTCTTATATTTATGTATATATTTTTTTTTGTCTAATATACATATTTGTATCTATTTGTGTATATCCGACTGTAACTGCACTCAAATTACATATTGATATGCGATGAGATTAGATTTTTTTTCTAGAATGTCGAATATTTTTAATAGTCCAACAAGCAAAATTAAAACACAAATAAACACCTATGCGACAAGAGAGAATGGTCGAATATGTTAAAAGAGCAATAAAAAATCTTTTTGTGTTTGTTTGATACTTCAGAAACAAGAGGTAGAACGAAAAAGAAAATTCATAAGATTACATACAACGAAAAATTTATGTGCATATATTACGAAAGAAAGAAATAAAGAGAAAAACGTAATTGAGATAGAAAGGAGATGCAATAATTTTCAGTTGCGTATTTCAAAATCTATCATTATACAAAAATAGAATCAGTTTATCTAGCAACATTTTATAATTGAAATGTATTATTTTCATTTCTATGAGAAAAAAGAGAACATTGGTCATTAGTTGAGTCAAAATATATAGGAATGATGCTAATATTTAATGATGTATGTTATATAAAAACGGAACAAGTGACAATATCATCAACTAACGATATTTTAATCTTCTATTGTCTCTGGTACAAATTCAACAATATACTGTGTGGCATTATGAAAGCACTACAACTTTTGATGATTATTTACTTTTAAAAAGAATATTGCGTAGTATCTTGTATTCTGTTCTCGATAACTTGCAAGCATTTTCATGCAGACAGATTTCTATTTTTTTTAGAAGATGCATTCAGCGTATTTCTTTACAAACTATTTAATTTATAGATACTATCAATAGACATTTTCATATACGTATATGACACTAGTGAAAAAGCATTCAATGAACAACATTCAAAACCCACTAGAGAACATCACAGGACGACTTTTTTCGTCCTGCTTTGCATTCTACAAGAAATTATTACTCAGTCATTCTGTTTTGTGGCATGCAGAACGATCTTTTCATTGCATTTCTAATACAGATAAAAGCTTGTCTGTATATGAGATACAATGTCAAATATCATTAACATAGTATTGATACAAAAATTATTTACAATATAATCATATTAAGAAACCTTATGAAATGTTTTTCAACAGAACTAAAATGAAAAAATAAAATTTAACATTCATAAAATGAACACAAGAATAAGAGCACAAAAATCAAGATGCAATATTCATTATGAAATCAATTTATAAAGATGACAACGAGAAAAAATAAGTTTGCTTTTTTACTGTTTGTTCTTGAACTTTTAGTATGAACGAATTTCCTCAATATAACTTGATGATAAACTTGTTCGTCATGGAGTCAATGCCGATAAAACTAAGCTAAAAAATTTTCTCACAAAAACATTGATCACTATCTTGGGATCGTTCTCATCGCTGGTGTAGTTTCCAACTTTCACTGGTGTTACTCAGCGAAACTTCCGTCGGATTTCTCCGACTTTGGTTAAAATGCACCACCAGAGATGTAAGTGTTGTTGGGACCAACATGATTAACATGTTGGTTTTTGTAGGTTAGTAATTTCATCATTTAAGAATTGCCCGCATTATTGCTTAGGCATGAGGTTGGGTGAAAACTCTTCTTAGCAGATGCGTGAGCTATCACCCACAGTAACCTTTTAAGATCAATTTGAATATTTACACATAGTAACAATAACTACTGCAATCACAACAACCGTAACAACAAAAACTACAACAAGCACCACATCAGTGACAACCGGTAAGACTTTGATAATAATATACTGAGCATTTCAATTTTTCGAAAGATTTTCAATGATAAAAATTATCATTTAAACATTCATAGATGATTGTTGATACTTTTAAGAAGTTTAATGAGAATGATTAACTAAATTGAGAAATAGATATAACTCATTTTGATGATCTATTCTGTTCATCATATGAATTGAGGAATACGAAAGAATAATATCAAATATTTAAGAATCTATGACTATTGTTTTCCGTACAGATGCTCTCAGTAGATCTGCTTTTCCGATGGCAGTTGCTCTCGCAACATTTTTTTTCTTATGACTGTTAATTGAAACTATCAACAATGAAAAAACCTAACAGAAAACTATTTAAGCTATACGTAGACAGAGAAATTGCCGCATGAGCCACTGTTTAAAAAGCAACTCTCCTGGTTTAGTCAGCGTTTAGAGAGCATTTGTCTGAGGTACAACGATCGCGTTATCAATATCTATAGATTATTTTCTAGTAAAATTATACATATCAGCAAATGAATAACGAAGTCAGATTAATTGAATAGTGTGCCGAACGTTACATATCAGGATGTGTTCCTTGTTACATCTATTGTTACTAGCAGATGAATGGCACTCAAAATAATCTTAATATTATGAGTTTTATATCAGAAATATTGATAAAAGCCTTTTTTCATCAAAGACTATTTATTATATATGTATTTTTTATTCATATAAATTTAAAGTTACAACAACCACTACACCTACACTCATGAACATAACACAAGCAGGTGATCCAATTGTTGGTATTTGTAATAAAAGAGCTGGTGGATCTATCGGTGGATCTGGCCTGAATTATCCTACCACTGAAAATCCATCAGATGCCATTGATGGTTCATTAACAACAAAATACCTCAATTTTGGAGATTCATCATCCGGTTGTTCTGGTGCAAGTCCTCCCGGAATAGATACTGGATTTTATGTTACACCGACTATAAGTAATGCCTCTGTTGCTGTTGGTATTCTTTTTGCGACCGGCAATGATGATGCTAATCGTGATCCAATAACAGTAACTCTAGAAGGAACAAATGTAACAAGTACTACGAATCTTAATTCTGGAACAAGTTGGACATTGATTTACAACGGTTCAACAGGTATTAGTGCATCAACTGATCCTGGTCGTTCAACATATGTTTCTGAACAACATTTCTCAAATACGATTGCCTTTAGAAGTTACCGACTTCTTGTTACTTCAAAACGTGGTAGTGCAAATTCAGTTCAATATGCCGAAGCTCATATAATTGGATATATTTAAGACTTTTGACTTTTAATATTAATGTTATTTGTAAAAGAGAAAAAAAATTTGCTTTATTTAAAATGAGAAATAAACATGACAGGCTTTCTTTTGTTTTATGCAAAATCTTTTAAAAAACAAAGCAACCAATTCTAATTTGCTTGACTAAATTACAAGAAAATCAGTTTTATGTAATGAATCATTTTATTTGCCTGGTTTAACTTCCATGCATTCATCTGGACGGAATCTCTTCTTAATGCAAATATTTGGGGGACAGCAAGGATTAATACCAAATTTACATGGAACACAATTCTTGCCAATTTCACGAGTATCCAATGATCCTGCATCATCATCACTATCACCATTTGACATTGAACGAAGAAACATTCGAGCTCTTTTATCTGTTAATTCCATATCATTATCATTATCATAAAATAAACGTTTAGCATTCGAAGTTGAAACGACGAATAGTAATACACAAATAACAAGAAAAATAAATGTCTTCATAGTCGTTGTTTTTTTGCAATATGTGTATATCAAACTTAACAGAAGTATATGGTACCAATAAATCTTACCTTGATCAACTGTAATTCAGCAGAATTTGTTCGTCTTTTTATACTATCGTTTGTTCTCTCATGGTACTTAATAAATATTTATCTGAAGAGTATTTAGTGACACAACCCACTCATCCGATTAGAAGATTTCTTATTCATCATTGCCATTATTCATACATTAGTAAATATTAATGAGAGAGTAAATGTAATGTAGAAAAAAAAATAGTGTCGCAATAAACTAAGCCGATAAAAATAGTTATCAAAAAAAGCAAATACGTCTTAAAAATAAAGACTAGTAAGAATATAAATCTTTCTTTACATAAGAAAAAAAAATGTTGATAATTTATGAAGGATCATATGTCTATAAATACAATATCTAAATAGTAACTTTCAAGATGACTGGATTATTTGCTTGGCATCAATGTATAAAAAAAGAAATTTACAAAAATTAGTTTTTAAACACGTTGTCGTTCTCACCAAAAAAAAAATTAATTGAAGAAAATAATCTTTATGCAAATTTTAACTGGTAGATGAACGCGTTTATTCCCTATAAAAATCTTTTTCTATTTGTTTATCGATATTAATTATTTTATCCTATTTACATCATTCTATTGCAGGTTTCTCAACAGTTTCTTTTTGTCGAGAATGCTAAAGACTTCAGAAAAGATATATCATAGCCAGCATAGTAAAAATTGATGTATACTTTCTCCTTCTATATGATTTATATTTAAAATTCATGTTAGACTATATTGAAGCACTTGAAAATATCAAATTAATTTCAATAGTTGCTCTACTGACTATGATATATTTGTGTCGAAATTTGCAGAATTTTCAATAAGAAAGTCACTCAAAGCAGATTTTAAAAAACATAAGATCGGTGCGATGAGCGATCGAAAATTTGAAATGGTTCTTTTTTCTTTGTTTTGTTCCGATTTCGAATCCATCGGCAGTCATCAGATGCTGTCCACTCGAAAACTGTCTCCTATTCAACATTCATTTTTCTACTCTTCAATCATTTTAGATCTCTAAATATTAAACAAACTTTTGAAGTACCCGAGAAAAAGAAACATATCAGAAGCATAATATTGAATGTTTGAATAGAACTAAACCAAGCAGAATAATAGTTTCAAGTGGTGTAATTAATTTGATTTCATGAAGGTTCTTCAAAAAATGATTTACATGTCTTTTTCACTTAGTTAACCTTTCTAGGATGATTTATTTTCGACATATATTTTCCTTAATTTCATAATATTCTAGAAAATAGTTTACATTAATTGATGAAAAATAACAAGTGAGACAGGAATTCATAAGCGTTTTTGACGAAAACACGACCATAATGAATTTTGTCTTTTGAATATTCGAAAATTTCCTTTTGAATATTGATTTTATATTTTATCACAAAGATCGATTACTTATCAAATAAGCTTTTTAAATGGTATCTGATACTCAAAAAAAGCCTTCTCAGCAGTCAGAGACAAGCAAAAGGTATTTTTATTCGATTAAAAAGTTATTTTTTTTTAATTTCCGAAAATTGTTAATAAATGTTAAAAGAACAATCTTCAAAATACTGTCCTTCTAAGAATGGAAAAGATAATTGGCATAGAAGAACAATAGTTCATATTTAGTTTAGATGTTCGACGCTCCTCCTCGGTGTTTATTCGATAGGTTTCGAATATTCACGTACGAGATAACTATATGGAAAAAATCCTTTTTATTTTTTTGATCTCCTCGTTTTGTTTACCTATCAGAAAGTGAGAAAGCGAGGGATGCATTTGAACTTCCGATGCTCACGACAACCTTAAATTGACGCATCGAAATGCATATCGAATGGTTGATTGGGCACTAGCAAACGTGCCATAGAACGGCTTACATATGATAAAAGAATTAATACGGATACGCAAGGCTTTGAGAGGGAAACAAAACAAAAATAGAATAAGTAGAAATATTGACGAAATTCGCTAGTTCGAAGATCATGCTGGGATGGGTATTCAGTTATATTCTTTTGTTATGCTGCTGCAATTTATCATATTTTTACCTAAGGCTTTATTTTCTGATATTTTTAGCAAGAAATATACATTGACATGTAAAGCACTTTCGTTAGACAAATTTTTTCTAGTTCTTGTTTTTTTTCTGTTTAACGTATCTAATTCATCCTTCGATGAGATTCAACATTCCTGAGAAGCATGCGTATATATCAATGTTTCTTATGAGCACCATCTTTACCAGATAATAGTGCAGATTGTAAAGAGAGTGAGTGAAAATGTGAATCATTGTCTCTCCGAAACCCATATCCATCAATACACACACACCCATACTCCTATTTACTCAGAATATCTTTGAATATGATATTACGAACTGCATGTCTATTTTAGTAGATGTTTATTTTATTAAAAAAATCGTTTTATTCAGGAAACTCGAATGGGACTATTTATTTAACTCGTTTGTTACATGGCTCATTGTCCCCAGACAAAAAAAAACATTATAAAGACAGTATTCTAACGAGTTTTGTAAAAAAACAATCAGTTTTTTTTTGTTATCAAAAGAATGTTAAACGACGTATTAGTATGCATAATAAATAAACGCATTCGAAATGAGTTTTTAATTTAAAAAATACGTGGTGAAATCAAAAAACAATGCACGTAAACACAAAAAAAAAACAGGATGTTTCTTTTTAAAATAATCTAAAAGAAACTTTCATGATTATAAGAAAAAAAAGAGTTTTTAATTATTGGTAAATGACGATCGATTACAAGTACACATTTCTTTAAAGAATCCAGCAACACAAATACCTTCATAATTGTAATTAGAAGCTTTTGTTGGTGTCATACGAGGTCGAATGTTAAGTAAAAGACGACGTGCATCTTCTTTACTTTTTTCGTTATCCTAAAATTCAATAAATACTTAGATAAAAAAAAGCCTTCGTAAATAAAATACTTTATATTTCATATAAAACTGCATTGCTGTTTTGGTATCTTCTGTAGCTAAATGGCCATTTTTAGGATTAAGATCAATATCTAATAGCATCCAAGCTTCATATGCCAATGAAAAAAGCTAAATGAAAACAAACAGATAAAGTATATGAATATTTTCTCTAAACTGTGAATTCAATATACTTCATTGAACCAAATCGAGGATTAGATGCTTTAAACTAATCACTAAAATCTTGGTGCTTGTTCAAAATCTTTAATTCATCAATCTGTTAATGGATAAAGATCACTAACAACTTTTTCTTTTGGTTTAATTAATGAACTAAATATAATTTGATTTTTATCATCGACAATCGCTACAACTACATGGAGATCGATCTTCATGTGTATAACCTGTTACTACACATTCAACGTCAGGGTGTGGGTGTGGGTCCTGTTTCTATTAATATCAACATCAACACCCATATCCTTCTCGTTGCATTAAGCATTTAATTTCACATAGAAATCGAAATTACAATATCATTACATTATTGAATTTTAATACTACAAGTAAGTTGTTCAATAGAGTATGTAAATATTCTTCTATTATGATAAATATATAATACTTTTTTTTCGTTTTAAGAAAGAATTATGTCAGAATATACAGTTCAATAAAGAGATACGCTGTAGAATATTGCACAAAGCTATGGCATCTCTTTTGATGATCCCATCGCAGCTAATCTGTAAATTGAGAATCTCGATTATATATATCCAGGCCAAGTGATTACAATTCCTGACTGGTAATCACTTCTATTCGATCTTCAAACCTTATACAACATGAACTCGATATCATACTTCAAATGCAATTTGCATTGCTTTTAGTTGTTCCAATACTTAAGTTTCAAAAATGTCTATCTTTTATTTTATACAGTGTAATTTGAAGTTGTATGTCATCAAATGTATAAATAAAACCTTGTGAGAATAAGTCAATAAAACAAGTGTTATCAACAAAATACATGACTCTATTTCATAGACACAATGTCAACTATCTTACTTTGAACCATATAAACCTCTTGAAACCATGTGAGACTTTAACAAAGTCGTCAGCATGTCTATCAATACCTGTTAGAGGAATGCCGGGTGATGGGCACGTTTAACTTTCTCGGTACATACTTCGGAATTAGTTACCAATCATGTTTCATAAAGTTCGAGATAGGCCGAAAACCACTGGAAAGGACTTTTTTATACGCTCATATTTTACTGTAATTCTTAAGAGGAGGGACATTTTCACAACACAATCAATTCATTCTAAAGTTTGTTGCTTTATCGACAAAATCGAACAAAAACATTTTGTTTACTATCAAAAGTTGAAATCTTTTCCTTTGAGCTACTATAGTAGAATCAAACGTAGCTTCGAGTGTAGATGTAAAGCTGATTTTTTTCATCGTCTGTTGTATATTTATGGACACATGCATACTTTCATGCGCATCATTATCACATTGGTGTCAAGTCAAGTCTATATTAGAATCAGATTTTCAATGCTAGTCGCTACCATTCACATGAAAGAATTCACGAATTAGATGAAAATCTGGATTTTTTTCTTCACGAGAATTCGATTGTCAATCATAGACATTCGACTGTAAACTTCAAAATAACAAAGGTATGTGATTGCGAGTGAAAACAAGATCCGGATCATTGGCTACAGTTTCTATCATGTGAAAATGAACTGCTTTTTATAAAAAAAAATATTTCGGAGTACTTGTCGTAAACGAGTGGAGAGAAAGAGAGAGCAAGAGTATCACTAATCTAACCAAATTGTAACTAATGAAACTTAAATAATGAAAATCGAAATACCTGCCATATGTATATTTCATAAAAACCAGATTCAGTCTTAATGTATATGTTTTTCTTATCAAGATATTAACCTATAGATCTTCATGAGTAATAATCATTGACTCCAAAATATTTTGTTTACGAAACGTCATCGTTTATTGTCAGTGTTTCTTGAATTAAATCTATACTCTTCCAGATGCTAGTCTACTCCTATGGACATTATTTTTCAATGTCTACATAAATGATAATATGAATTATCTAGACAATTCTTATGCTTATAAATGATGTGCTTGAAAAACCAACTGAACTGCTTTTTTTGTATTAAACTAAAGTGAATAATAAGGTTGTTTTCTCTTCTATGTTTTCCTCATTATTTGTGCACATGATCAGACAAACACTGGCAATACACAAAAAAAATGTTATCTACGACACAGTGAATAAATACGTCTGTCTATCTCTTGATGACATGTGTGCATGGAAAAGAGAAAAAATGGTTTGGATACCTCTTATATGCATTCAGGCTTCACTTATTTTTCTTTCTTTCTTCTCTCTATTGCAGTTGTTTTTCAAACTAAGAATGTGTGCAATTAAAACATAACCTTATCATTTTGTACAGCTTTTTCTTCACATAGACATTCCTACGATTCTTTAGATTTGTACAAGATGTGTAGAAAAACTACTTGTTCCACATGTAACAAGCCTACATGGGCAGGTAATCGAAAATTTATTTGAAATCTACTTGAAGTAAGTGACTATAAACTGTCGTTTCTCTTGTTTATTTCAGGCTGTGGTCGACATATCGAACAAGCATTGAAAGATGTACCTGTTGATGAACGATGCAAATGTGAAAAAAAATTCATTGCTAGATTGTGCATTCTATCATAAAAATAGACTCAATCGTCATATTCTTGGTTGGTTTATGACAAAGTCAATAATAAAAAATTATTAACACGTACCTTTTTTTTTTGAATTCTTTTTTAATAATCTCTGACATATTGCATCTCTTTTACTTTTTGTCAATCATTCTTATCGTTCTGTGTGATGATGTTTTATTAATAAAGAAAAAAAAATAAATCGAAAAGAAGAATATCATACACTCTCACTCACATCTTCAACATAACAATCGACTCCAACCTTAAATTCTGATCATAAGGATAGATTCTGCTTTTTGTTATGAAATATACATATCAGCCAATAAACTTACATGCTGTTCGACAAACTGTCTAAACTTTTCTATTCTAGAATTTTCTAATAGAACGAAAATGTATTTTTGATCACAAAATTTTCGAGTCAAGATCTTTGATTATCTCTTCTTTAAAGTAACTAG